AATATTGTGTGGAATGCTACTGAGAGGTCAAATAATAAGACAGAAATGTATTTATTGGATTTAGCAAGATAAAGGTCACTGGTGACCTTCACAATAGCAGTTTCTATGAAATGAAGGGAAGAAATACCTAACCAGAATGGGAGGAAAAGAGAGGGAGGTAAGTATAGAGAAAGCAGAGACATTCAAGTGGTTTTGATATGAAAGGGAACCAAAAAATGATTCAATAGCTGGACAGAGGGTCAGGGAGAAGTAACTTTTAAAGGAGGGGAGTTATTTGAGTATGTGTGTAAGCTGATAGCAGTGAATGAGTGTAGTGACTTTCTAAAGACTGGTGGAGCAAGTGACTGCGCTGGAGTGCGTAACTGTAGGCTTGAGTCTTTGAGAGGAATTGGGACATTTCTTCCACAATAATAGGAGGAAGATGACAGTGGTAAAAAGATGAGGGAGTTTCTTACTAACTTCTTCTATATTCTTAGTGAAATATTGAAGACATCACTGAGGAGAAGGGGATATGAGGCAAAAAAGATATAAAAAGAAATCTAAAAAGAGCAGCAAAAGTGTGAAATAATAGTTCTGGAGAATGGAAATTGAAACTGTCAGGGAAATGTAACAGTACTGTCTTATGGCACTGAGTGGTTATTTGAGATTTTTGTTCAATAATTTAAAAGTGAGATCATTTAACAAAGGGATATAATTTCTATGAGCAATATTTATCTACTCAGTTCAGGCACAGGATACACAGATAATTGAGTTTGATCAGAGTTGAATATTGCTCAGAAAGCAAGGGGCAAGGACTTTAAGGATATTTTATGGGTGGTGGGGGTTATTATAATTTTGAGCCACAGATTACAAACTTTGTAACAAAGGAAAAGAAGTGAGGCAAAATGTACTTCCTTCCAGTCTTTTTTCTATTGTTTATAAAATTGGTATCACATTACATAAAGTTTTGTCTAACATTTTCCCATTTCAATAGTCTTCAAAATATTATTTTATTTATTTATTTTTTAAAGGTACTCAACCAGAGATCATGTTTCCTTTATCTTATTGTATGTTTTAAAGTAAGCACAATGCGGGGCTCAAATTCACGACCCTGAGATCAAGAGTCACTTGTTCTACTGACTGAGCCAGCCAGGCATCCCTCAAAATATTATTATTATTTTTTTTTAAGATTTTATTTATTTATTTGAGAGAGAGAATGAGAGATAGAGAGCATGAGAGGGAAGAGGGTCAGAGGGAGAAGCAGACTCCCTGCTGAGCGGGGAGCCCGATGTGGGACTCGATCCCGGAACTCCAGGATCATGACCTGAGCCGAAGGCAGTCGCTTAACCAACTGAGCCACCCAGGCGCCCTCAAAATATTATTTTAAATGGCAACAGTACATTTCAACACATAGATATATCATAGTATATGTTAACAATCTCCCTTTTGTTAAACATTTAGATCATTTAAAAATCTTTATCATGTGTAACACTCTCACATGTGTAACATACTTGTAAAACATCTTTTCCCTGTCTCTGATTACTTTCTTAGGAAGTATTCCTAGGAGTGCAATTACTGGAGTCAAAGAACATGTATATATATTTTTTTATTAAAAAAATAATTGAAACAACTTCAAGGTACAGAAAAGTTTGAAGGACAATACAAAGAACTTTTTTTTTTTTTATCTCTGAACCGTTTGAGTAAATTGCTGACATGAAGTTCCATTATTCCCAAGTACTCTAGTGCATGTTTCCTACAAAGATATTCATTTGGATTATATGCCTTGACCAAATGGAATTTATCACAGGAATGCAAGGTTGATTCAACATATGCGAACCAATGTACTACATCATACTAATATAATAAAGGAGAAAAACCACATGGTCATTTCAGGAGATTCAGGAAAAAAAAATCTGAAAATTCCAACATCTTTTCATGATAAAAACACTCAGCAAACTAGGAATAGAAGAGAACTTCCTCAGACTTAAAAAGGGCATCCACACAAAACTCCAGCCAATACTATAATTAATGGTGAAAAACTAAAAGCTCTTTTCCTAAGATCAGGAACAAAACAAGGATATCTGCTCTGTCCACTCCTATGCAGCAGTGTACTGTAAGTTCTATTCAGGGCAACTAGGCAAGAAAAACAAGTACAAGGCATCCAGTTGATAAGGAAGACATAAAACGATCCCTATTTGCATATGACATGATTGTGTACACAGCCCTAACAAATCCACATATGCACACACCAAACTACTACAGGTAAAAAGAACAAGCTCAGCAATGTTGCAGGATACAATAACAATATGCAAAAATCATTGTTATTTCTATAAATTAGGCATGAGAAATAAAAAAATGAAATTAAGAAAATTCAATTTACAATACCATCAAAACTATAATACTTATGAATACATTTAACAAAAGAAGTCAAGATTTGCACACAAACTATAAAACATAATTGAAAGAAATAAGAGACTTAAATAAATGGGAAGACATCCTATGTTCATGGATTGGAAGACAATATTAAAGATAGCAATACTCTTCATAAAGTTATAAATTAGCATAAAATCATCTAACTTAAGTTTTAAAATCTTTTATTACCAAAATAATGTTTATTGTAGATCCTATGCAAAATAAAAGTGAATACAAAGAAAAAAAATAAAGATAGCAATACTCTCCAAAGCGATCTGTGGATTCAATGGAATCCCTTTCAAAATCCCAGATAATTTTTGCAGAATATGATAAGTTGATCCTAAAATTCAAAGGATGTTATTTAAAAAATGAAAACACAACCCACAGAATGGAAGAAAATTGTAAGCTATGTATTCAGTAAGGGTCTAGTACCCAAAATATATAAGGTACTCTTATAACTCAATGATAAAAAGGCAAATAACACAATTTAAGAATGGGAGAAGGATCTGAACAGACATTTCTCCTATGAAGATATACAAATGGGCAATACGCACGTGAAAAATGTTCAACATCCCTGGTCACTAGGGAAATGCAAATCAAAACCACAATGAGATATCACTTCACATCCAGCAAGATGGCTATAATCAAAAGGAAGGACAATCACCAGTACTGGCAAGGATATAGAGAAAATTGCAGGTGAGAATGTAAAATGGTACCGCCACTTTGAAAACCAGTCTGGTAGATCCTCAAAAGGTTAAAGGCAAAAAAATAAAATTTAAAAAAAATTTTTTAAAAAAGTTAAATGCAGAATCACCATGTGACCTAGCAATTCTACTTCTAAGAAATATATATCCACATAAAAACTTGCACACCGGGGCGCCTGGGTGGCTCAGTTGGTTAAGCGACTGCCTTCGGCTCGGGTCATGATCTTGGAGTCCCGGGATCGAGTCCCACATCGGGCTCCCTGCTCAGCAGGGAGTCTGCTTCTCCCTCTGACCCTCTTCCCTCTCGTGCTATCTCTCATTCTCTCTCTCTCTAATAAATAAAAAATTAAAAAAAAAAACTTGCACACCAATGTTCATAGAAGCATTGTGCATAAAAGGCAAAGAGTGCAAACCACCCAAAGTCCATTAATTGATAAATGAACAAATAAAATGTGGTATATCTATGTAATGGAATATTACTCAGCCTAAGTCAAAGAAGCCAGATATAAAAGGTCACACACTGCAGGATCCATTGCTATGAAATGCCCAGAAGAGGCAAATCCACAGAGACAGAGAGTAGATTAGTGGTTGTCAGAGGCTAGGTGGACGGAGTAATGAGGAGAGACAGTTAATGGGCATGAAGTTTCTCTTTGGGGTGATGAAAATGTTCTGTAATTAGATAATGGTGATGGCTTCACAATTTTGTAAATGTACTTAAAACAACTAACTTACATACTTTAAAATGGTTAATTTTATGGCATGTGAATTAAATCTTTAAAAAAAGAAGATGTTCACCTACATATCCACAATACTACCAACAAAATCAGGATATTAACATTGATTTACCATATAATCCTCAGACCTCATTTAAGTTTTCTAAGTGTCCCAGTAATATCATAAATGTAAGCATACACACACACAACCATCAAGTCTAGAATCATACACTGTATTTAGTTGTCATGTCTTTTTGCTCTCCTTCAATCTTAAACAGTTCTCTAGTCTTTTATTATTTATTATAAATGTGTTGAATATCAGAATCAATCCTAAGAATTAATTCTTATACATTTAAATAGCTGTAATTAATAATTCACAGATCCTCTGGAATAGCACTGTCCAATTAGCAGCCACTAGGCTTATATGGCTACTGAGCACTTGAAATAAACCTAATCTAAATTGAGATATACACCTTATTTCAAGACATGAAACATTTCATTAATAAATTTTTATACTGATTACATGTTGAAATAATATTTGAATATACTGGGTTAAATAAAATATATTATTATAATTAATTTTACCTATTTCTTTTTAACATGGCCTTTCTTAATGTGGCTACCAAAAATTTTTAAATTACATACATACTCACATGATATTTCTACTGGACAGTGCTGTTCCATGAGTTTCTGGGTTAGCAATGGGGAATAAAGAGGTCAATAGACTGAGGACTAGATATATTGGCCTAGAGCAAGGACAGTAAATAAAAATCCTTGCAGAGCTCTTAAAACTTTGCTAGCTAGAGGAATCATCCATTCAAATGGATGCCATAAAAGAGACATGAGGAAATACAGGCATCGAAGAATATATTATCTTAGTGAACTGTCTTTTTAAAATGCCTCCAGGGGTCTCTGCTCTAACATTGTGTGTGTCCGCACACGGGAGGACAGAAGTTACAGTGCTCTCACTTGTTATCTCTATGGACAGCTAACTTATTTGCTCGCCTCTTTGTTCTACCTAGTCAATTTGAATCCTCTGGCCTGAAGTAAAATCTCCAGAGATTTGTAATCTCTTTTTTTCCCTTTGGTCTCTTATATCAATAGCACCCTCTAGTAATGTACTCTTTCCTCAAATCTGAAGTGTCTCTGGGTGAAGAGAAGTAAACATTTAGTTAATTTTGTTATTACTGACCTGCATTTCATATTTCAGAGTCATGTGGAAGCACCAGGATCCCATTCCTACCACTGAAATTAAAACAAACAAATAAAAAAAGACGATTAGCATGAAATTCTTTGGGGCTGGCCAGAGTGATGTGAGAAGATAATAAGACAATGCAAAGCACTGAATTTTAAGAACAAAGTTTATGAAATCTATGGCAGGATACGGCAGACTGCATAAGTTCTATAATTGATGAAATTTTGGTATAGAAAAAAAACCCCAAGTACAGTATAAATTCTCATAAATTCCTTCCACTAAGTGGACTTACTGGATTAATCAATAGTCTCCATTCTTTCTGTAAAATATACTACCTGATACTCAGGATAAGCCTTTTTTTTTCTTTTTTTTTAAAAGGAGACAGAAGTGGGCGCCTGGGTGGCTCAGTTGGTTAAGCAACTGCCTTCGGCTCAGGTCATGATCCCGGAGTCCCGGGATCGGGTCCCGCATCAGGCTCCCTGCTCGGCAGGGAGTCTGCTTCTCCCTCTGACCCTCTCCCCTCTCATGCTCTCTCTCTATCTCATTCTCTCTCTCAAATAAATAAAATCTTTAAAAAAATAAATAAATAAATAAAAGGAGACAGAAGTTTATTGACTACACCGCAAGGGAGTGGTGGACAGGGCAGCAAAGGAGAGACTGCCTCTCAGGATAAGCTTTACAGCTTAAACACTACAGGATAATGCTTACAGCTAGTTAGCTACTCTAGTACTTCCTTGCACATTTATCCAAATAGCTGAATTGTATACTTACTAAGAGCCAGTTATATTTGTTCCCAAACCTGTTAATGCCATTGTATTAAGTTATCAGAAACATGATTGCAAAAAGTGAGCTGTTGTTTCTACAAAAACTATTTAAAATGCTTAAAACAGACTCAATAAAAGAGAGTTGCTAATAAAAATTGCTCTTGAATTAAGTGTGGGTAAGATACCTGTTAGATTGAGAAAAATAGTAAAAATCTAAAGATTCCATATTTAGGTCTCAAAGTTCTTCCCAGATGCCTCTATTTTGAATAAACTATTTTCATTTTAGGGTTTTTAAAAATTTTTGTTTTTTAATGCGAGAAAAGCTAAGTAGAACTATAATTAGGATCCCAAGGCCATGTTATATATCAAATAATTGTCAAAGATTACATAACTATGTTTTAATTAAAAAAATTTTAAGGTAGGTATATATATAATTTTATAATTGTTTTGAATTTTTAAAAATTAGCTGACCAAATATCAGTCCCTATTACACCTGACAAAAAGCCTTCTACATTAAGTTCAATTCAACAAGCATTTACTGAGTACCTCCTATTTGTCAAATTCAGTTACAGTTACAAAGATAAGATCCAATCATTGGCCTTAATAAAGCATATAGTCTAATGGAAGACACAGGCCGACAAAATGCCAGTAGATGGAGATATGATAAAGAGATATACAGAGTACCATGGGAGAACAGTAGAGGGCACTTAGGAAGGAAGAGAAGAGAAACCAGGGGACTTAGCCTTAAGGATGTATAAGAGTTGGCCCAACAAACATGGTAAATGGAGGTGTCACCAAATAATCTGTACAAAGCCACTTGAGAAAAATTTCAAAAATTTGTTACTCTTACTTTTTAAAAAAGATTTTATTTATTTGAGCACACATGTGCAACACGAGCGGGGGGAGGGGCAGAAGAGGAAGAAAAGGGAGAGAATCTCAAGCTGACTCCAAGGTGAGCATGGAGTCCGGGACAGGGCTTGATCCCACGACCCTAAGATCATGAACTAAGCCAGAACCAAGAGTTGGATGCTTAACCGACTGAGCCACTCAAGTATCCCTTGTTACTCTAGCTTTATTTTTTTAAGATTTATTTACTTATTTGAGAGAGAGAGCACAAGCAGAAGGGTCAGAGGAAGAGGGAGAGAACCTCAAGACTCCAAGCTGAGCACAGAGCCCAACACAGGGCCCAATCTCACGACCCTGAGATCACGACCTGAGCAGAAACCAAAAGTTGATGGCTTAACTGACTGCACCACCCAGGTGCCCCATTACTCTTGCTTTAAAAAAAAAAAAAAAAAAAAAATCACTAAATATCACATTATTTTTTACTGTTCAACATGAGATGAGAGAAGTAAACAGTTACTGCACTCATTTTACTAAAGAAATAAGGAAGCAGGAAAAAAAAAAAAAAGAAAGAAATAAGGAAGCAGGGGTGGGTGGCTCAGTCGGTAAAGCATCTGCCTTCAGCTCAGGTCATGATCCCAGGGTCCTGGGACCAAGCCCCACATTGGGCTCCCTGCTTAAGCAGGGAGTCTGCTTCTCCCTCTCCCTCTGCCCCTGCTCGTGCTCTCTCTTTCTCTCGCTCATTCTCTCTCAAGTAAATAAACAAAACCTTAAAAAAAAAAAGAAATGAGGAAGCAGAATGGTTGATGTCTTTTTTCCAAAGGAGAAATTAGAAAGTGCAAAGGTGGGTAAATTAATGGAAGGGAGGGGGAGCCCACAAACTCTGTCAGTTAAAGTCATATAATATACTAGGAAGTAAAAAAATTAAAATGCAGTGGGATGATTATTCATTCTGAAAAGTAGACTGGCCACTTAATCGTGCTTTACTCAAGAACTGTTTTTGTCCAAACCTTTTTTTTTTTTTTTAAAGATTTTATTTATTTATTTGACAGAGAGATAGAGAGCACAAGTCGGCAGAGAGGCAGGCAGAGGGAGAGGGAGAAGCAGGCTCTCCGCTGAGCAAGGAGCCCGATGGAGGGCTTGATCCCAGGATCCTGGGATCATGACCTGAGCTGAAGACAGCCGTTTAACTGACTGCACCACCCAGGCGCCCCCGTCCAAACCTTTTCAAATATGCTCTTGTACTTTTTATTATATACCACTAAAAGTCTGATTTTCAGAGATCGCTACAATTTACTTCAACAATCTACTTAGAATGCAAAGAAATGTATGGAAGAGCATCACCTTTCTCTACACAATGTTTTCTATTTTGCCGCTTTAAAGCAAACCATCAGTTTTTGCTAAAGTTTTATCAGCTTTATTGAGATATAATTCACCTACTATAAAATTAATTTAAGGTGCACAATTCAACTGTTCTTAATGTTCGGGCTGTGCAACCATCATCATTATCTAATTTTAGAACAGTTTCATCATCCCAAAGAACAATCTCATATCTATTAGTAGTCACTCCCTATTTCTACTCAAACCTCCCCACTCCTTAGCCCTAGACAACCACTAAAGTATTTTCTGTCTTTGTAGATTTGCCTGTTCTGGACTTTTATTATAAATGGAATCATACAATATGTAGTCTTTTCTGTCTGGTTTCTTTCACTTAGCATTATTTTCAAGGTTCATTCATATTATAGCATATATCAGTACTTCATTTCTTGCATGAAGAATATTCTATGAACTTACTACATTTTATTTATCCATTCACCAGTTGATGGACCTTGTTACAAACTGCATGCTGTGTCCCCACCCCACCAATTTATATGTTGAAGCTTTAACCCCAAATGTGATGGTATTGTGCGTGGAGCCTTTAGAAGGTAATTAGGTTTAGATGAAGTTATGAAGGTAGGGCCCCCATGATGAGATGAGTGTCCTGAGAAGACGAGGAAAAGATAGGACCTCACTCTCAATCTGCCTGCATGCATCAGGAGAGGCCATGTGAGGACATGCAGAAGGCAGCCATCTGCAAGCCAAGAAGATCTCAGCAGGAACCGAATCAGCCAGCACCTTAATCCTGGACTTTCCAGCCTCCAGAACTGTGAGAGATAAATGTCTGTTGTTCAAGCCACCCAGACTATGGTATTCTGTTATGGCAGCTCAAGCTAAGACAGATATTTAGGTTTTTTCCACATTTTGGCTATTTTGAATAACACTACTGTGAACATTCACGTCCAAGTTTTTGTGCAGACTTGTTTTCATTTCTCTTGGGTATACATACCTAAGAGTGGAATTTGTGGGTCATATGATAACTCTGTGTTTGGCATTTTGAAGAACTGCCAAAGTGTTTTTCAAAAGCAGCTGCATCATTTTACCATGAGCAATATATGAATTTCTCCACATCCTCCCAATACTTGTTATTGGCTGTCTTTCGGATTATAGCCATCCTAATGTATTGAAGTGGTATTCACTGTGGTTCTGATTGGCATTTCCCTAATGACGGCTGCATGCCCCCCTCTTTTTTTCTTGTAGAATGTTCTATATTATAGATTTGTCTATTTTTTAATGGACTTTTTAAAAGCAGTTTTAGGTTCACAACAAAATTGAGGTACAAAGATTTTCCATATAAACTCTGCCTCCTCACATGCACAGCCTCCCTCACTATCAAGATCCCCTACCACAACGGTACATTTGTTACAACTGATGCACCTACATTGGTATATCATTATCACCCAAAGTCCACAGCTTATATTTTATGGTTCACTCTTGGGTATGGACAAATTTATAAAGACTTGTATTCACCGTTATATTATAGAGAATGGTTTCATTACCCTAAATTCTCTTTGCTTTGCCATTTCATCTCTCTATCGAACCCTGGCAACCACTGATCTTTTTACTGTCTTCATAGTTTTGCCTTTTGCACAATATTATATACTTGGAATCATACAGTATATAGCTTTTTTCAGTTGGCAATAGGTATTCTTTCACTTAATAATAGGCATTTAAGGTTCCTTCTTATCTGTACATTGTTTGATACCTCACTTCTTTTTAGCACTGAATAAATATTTCATTGTCTAAAGGTCTAACAGTTTACCTATCCACTCACCTACTAAAGGACATCTAAGTTGCTTCCAAGCCCAGCCTTGTAAATAAACCTGCTATAAATACCTGTGTGCAGGTATTTGTGTGAAGATAAACTTTCAACCCTTCTGGGTAAATACCAAGAAGTGTGACTGCTGAATCATATGGTGAGAGTATATTTAATTTTGTAAGAAACCATCCAACTGTCTTCCAAAGTGGCTATACCATTTTGCATTCCCACCATTAATGAATGAGAGTTCCTGCTGCTGCACAACCCCATTTCCTTTTTAACAAATATTTACTGGGCCCTCAACAGC